TCTTCTCACCAAGGCCGTTCCAAGGAAGAAGTTAGAGGCAGACCTATGCAAGTTGGGAATGACAAATATCTATTCCCAACTTGAGGGGGAGTGTAGAGAATGCTGATGTGGACCCCACGACTGTGGTCCCCACTGTGTTCGTATGACAACACAACATGTATTCTTTGTTAGTTATGTCAGTGTTAGTTGGTAGTTATTTCAGTTTTGTTGTTTATTTCAACCTTATTATTAGTTTATTTTCCATGTAAGCATCAAGGGCAATTCTACCTTTTTCTACAATTAGTAAACATATAAATATTAAGAATGGGTCGGCAGATTAATCAATCCGTCCCTCTCTTTCCTTTTCTAAAACCCTTGTGTACTTCTGCTTCTCCCTCTTTTCTCCTTTTCTTCTTCTTTTCTCCATCTGAAATCCTTTTTACTTTTGGATTCAAGACTGATTGTAGTCTTGATCGACTACTTGGGGTCCACATCAGTGTTCTCTACATGTGGAAGATAAGAATAAGCTAATTCAAGAGATTGATGATCTGGACCAGAGAGAGCAAACGRGGAATTTGGGTGTAGAGGGTAGAAGCCGAAGAGAAATTATTAGAAGGGAGTGGGAGAAAATTATATTATGGGAGGAAATCTATTGGAGACAAAGGTCTTGAGTGAGATGGCTGAAGGAGGGAGATAACAATTCAAAGTTCTTTCATAGTTACGCTTCAGGGAAAAGAAAGAAGAATTGCATCTTAAAATTGAGGGTGGGGTAGAGAGAGTTAGAAGACAAGGGAGAAATTTCAGAAGTCATCGTGCAGTATTTCAAAGGGCTCTACTCAAAGGATGGTACTAGCAGAATCCTCTGAACAGTTGTGAGGGCCCAAGATTGTTTGAAGACAAAAGGGTGTGGCTAGAAAGAACTTTTGAAGAACAAGAGATTAAAGAAGCAATATTTAAGATGGACGGTGATAGAGCTCCTAGACCAAATGGGTTCCCTATTCTTTTCTACCAACTATGCTGGGACACAATCAAGTCTGATCTAGTGGAGGTGTTTGCATATTTCTATCTATCAGCCATTGTGAACAACGAAAACAACTCAACATTCATCACCCTAGTGCCAAAGAAAGAGGGATCCTTAGAAGCTAAGGATTTCAGACCTATCAATTTGGTGGGAAGCTTATACAAAATAGTAGCGAAAGTGTTGACGACAAGGCTAAAGGAGCCAAGGAGGTGCTGAATGATCTAATTTTAAACAACCAATTCGCTTTTGTGCAAGAAAGACAGATTATTGACAGCATTCTAGTGGCCAATGAATGTGTAGAAGAAAAAAGACAAAGTGGCAAGCCAGGGGTGGTAATCAAGTTGGACCTTGAAAAGGCCTATGACAAAGTGGATTGGGATTGCTTGTTAGAGATTCTAAGTCTGAGAGGTTTCAGTAGAAGGTGGATGAGATGGATAAAAGGGTGCATAAGCTCTGCTTGGTTTTCAGTCCTGATTAATGGTGAACCTACTGGATACTTTAATGCAAATAGGGGCTTGAGACAAGGGTGCCCTCTCTCCCCACTACTCTTCACTTTGGTGGTGGATGTACTTAGTTACTTGATTCAAGAAGCGAGGGAGTTAAATTTGCTGAAAGGATTCGAGATAGGTAGGGAGGCAGTCCCAGTTTCTCACTTGATGTTTGCAGATGACATCATACTTTTCTTGGAGGTGGATTGGGAGAACATTTCCAACTTAAAAAGAGTGTTAACTAGTTTTGAGATGGTGACTGGGCTCAGAATTAATTACTCTAAAAGCAGCATTGTGGGCCTAAATGTTGGTGACCCTGTATTGGATAGGTTTAAGGAGATGTTGGGGTGTAAGTTAGAGAGGCTTCCCATTGCCTATTTGGTAATGCCTCTTGGTGGGAACCTGAGAAGTCAAAGTTTTTGGGACCTGGTAGTGGAAAAATGTGAGAAAAGATTGGCCATGTGGCAGAAAAGCTTTCTTTCAAAAGGTGGAAGACTTACACTAATTAAGATTTCCCTTGCCAACCTGCCAATCTACTTTTTGTCGGTTTTCTGAATCCTAGGCAAAGTAAAAAGCAAGATTGAAAAACTACAATGGGATTTCCTATGGGAAGGGAGTGGTGAAAACAAATGTCATCTAGTAGGCTGGAATCGGGTTTGCAAGCCAAAGGAAGTTAGTGGTTTGGGACTAGGTCATATCAGAAAGGAACTTGGCCCTTGGAAAATGGCTTTGGAGGTATCCCTTGGAGATGGAAGCGTTGTGGACAAAAATCATCAAGAGCAAGTACAGGAGATATGCCAACGGTTGGGATAGCAAGGTCCACTTGAACTGGGTCAAAGCCTCTAACCCTTGGAAATGTATTACTTCTATCTATGACCTCTTTTTTTGATTCTGTTAGATATTAGGTGGGGAACGGAAATAGAATCAAATTCATTTATAAAAAAAAACCGGAAATAGAATAAAATTTTGGACTGATTTGTGGTGGGGAGAGGACACCCTTGCTAACTCCTATCCTAGAATCTTTAAACTGTCCCAATCCAAAGAAGCCACGGTAGCCTCTAGCCTCAACCCCTCACCCTCGGGAACAACTTGGAACCTAAATTTCAGAAGGCCTTTAAGAGAAATGGAAATTGTGGATATAGCTAATTTGCTAAACTCTCTTGCTACCCCTGACCAGAGAATCTGGAAACTTAATCCTGCTGGCAAGTTCTCCACTAATTCCTTTTTCAAGGCTCTAGTGTCAAAAGATCAGAGGCCTCCCTTTCCAGCTAAGAAAGTCTGGAGATCACACATCCCCTGTATAGTCTCTTTCTTTTTATGGTAAGCTTGTTTAAAGAGAATAAACACCTGTGAGTTGCTTCAGAATAAGTTTAAAGGCAGATTATGCATCTCCCCTCATGTTTGTCCTCTTTGTCTTGGTGATGGGGAGACAACTGATCACATCCTTCTCCACTGCCCGGTCTCTAGAAAGATTTGGTACTTCTTCCTAAACCTAGTTGGTTACAGCTGGGTGTTCCCGGAGAGGGTGGTGGACTTCTTGTGGCAATGGAAGGCAGAGGGCTAGGAAAAAGAGGAAGATTTTACCGGATTACAGTGACCTGACCCATGCAGTCTTGTGGGGCATTTGGGAAGAAAGGAACAATAGAACCTTTGAAAATAAAGCTAGAAATGTTGATCAACTCTGAAGTGTTCAAAGGTCTCTCCCTAAATGATCTCCAGAGCAACCTTCCAAAAATTCTACACTCCTCTCCAAGATCTGAGTGGACCATGAGACAGGCTCTTAGAGAAGAAGGAGAAATGACTCTAAACTTTGATGGTAGTGCCCAAGGATCCACAGGTCAAGCAGGAATCGGAGGTGTAATCCGAGGGGAAAGGGGGAATATTTGTTGGGCTTACAGTGGTCCGATTGGGAGGGCAGATGGCACAAAGGCAGAGGTATTGGCTGCACTCACAGGGATTTGCCTTGCCAAACGGCTAGGTTTATCCACTTTAACCGTTAAAGGGGATTCTGCAATATTATAGCTTTGTTACAGGAGAAGGGAGGGCCCTGGAGACTAGCCCACTTCTTATCTGAAGCAAGGGATATCTTAGGCTCTATGAATGTGAAGTTGGTTTGGCATTGATAAAAAAAAAGTGAAGTTGGTCTGGATTCCTAGGGAGCAAAATTCTGTTGCTGATAACCTAGCAAAATCAGGGGTCTCTAGAGATTTCTTGTTTAGTGACAGCTGTTTGCCTTTGTAATCCTGCCAAGCCACTCTTGGCTTCAGTACATCCTTTCATGTACTTCCTTTTTTTTCTTCTTCAATAAAAAGTTACCTTTGCTTCAAAAAAGAAGGTGCCACATAAGCTGAACGGTAAATAAATGGTTGGGTGTTGGGGAAACATTAAAAATGGTGTTCCCCCCAACAGTTGGCTCTCACACAAACCAAGACAAATGTTTATCTAATAAACGTCTTACGAAATAACATTTTGGAATAAATGCCTATGCGATGAGCTGACACCAATTTTCAAATAAATGGCCACAGAACCAAACACCATCCTGATTATCGGACATTAACCTGCCAAGTTTAGGTCCAAGGATGATTCAATGCTTAACCCTGATCCACTTTTGAAAGCATAATGGTGGTTGACCAACCAATGACTTGATTTACAAGGTTGCTGAAGCTATTTCACCTGCTACTCAATTTGCTACATTAGCTATCAAATCCAACAATTTATATCCACTTAGACACAGTGGCATTACCCAATGTTGGTCCTAGCTATTTGGGGTCTTGAGAGTAGAAATTGGAAAAAAGGGATGACAATTACTATGACCAGGTTTTGTTATTTTATCCTTATTGGACACAATACACAAAGGCTGACAAAGTGGTACCTATACCATCCACCAAAAGTTCTTTGAAAAAGGATAAATTTTATTCATTGAGGTGGCAAAAAGACCCAAAAAAGTATTCAGTATTCAGGAAGAAGATGATGACAATAGATTACAGAGGTTCCACAACTTCCTGTTCTTTCTGTTTCTGTTTGTGTTGTGTTTTTTCATGTATTCCAACCTTCCTTTTGTTCTTTAAAATATGTATCCATAGGCTGTGGCAAATTTTCAGGAAGGAGATGATGACAATCAGGTTACGGCAAGGAAGAATTGAGAAGGCTAGCAGAGATTGATACTTGTTTTAATTCAGAATGACACTTTAGTTGTTTTTGATTTTTCTGGTTTTATAGAATTTAGAAGATATTGTGGATGAGCTTTGGAAATTAAACTCTAGTTATTTTGGCTGAAATTGGTGTTACACTAAAATTTCATTGTAGATTCCACAATTTCAGCCACAATAAATTTTAACAGTATAATAATTATTTTGGTTTTTGAACAGTGTTGTGAAACTGAAATTCACAAAATAAAATGAAATCATGCTGAAATTAAAAGCATCACTGCATATTTTTAAATAGTACCAGAATATGTGTCCATGTTTTGATCAGCACTGCTAATGTTCCACTGCATTACTTTTTTACACCAGATATATGTTCCAACAAATCCTCGTGGTGCAGAGTTATTGCCCCCTGGTATTGTTGTGCCTGAAACAGATTTTTATTTGCGCAGATTATGGGGTGATCCAAATGAGGTACATTTACATTATTGTTGATCATCTTTTTTACCACTTTTTTCTATTGTTTGAACAATCTATGCTTTCATACATTAGTTTTCTTGTGCATCTTTGCATGACCAGAAAGACATGATACCAGAAAAAGTTGTAGCCATCAACTGGTATCATAAAACTGGTAGCCAATCAGGTGGTTTATTTATCAAGTTAGCGGCGAGTTTTGATTGGTCAAAGCCCTTCTGATATCATGTCTTTCTGGCGGCATAGGTTTCTCCTTATACATATATAAGTTGTTGAGATCTTAGCTGTGAGGTTTCCATTTATTGTCAATGGGTGAACTTTGTAAGTGATGGATTTCTCTGTTTATGATGATTGAAATCCGCAGGATCTGAAAACTAAGCCAAAGTACTTGGTGACATTCACAGTTGGTTTTGATCAGAGGAATAATATTGATGCAGCAGTTAAAAAGGTAATAAACACACCTGTATTGTTATKCTTGTTCTTTTAATATATTGTTTCTTTGTTTCTTTTCTAAGGATACTTAGGCTTGTGTTTCACATTTCATTGTAGTTTTCTGAGGATTTCACAATTTTGCTTTTTCACTATGATGGTCGGACAAGTGAATGGGATCAATTTGAGTGGTCAAAGCGTGCAATTCATATTAGTGCAAGGAAGCAAACAAAATGGTACTTTTTTACTAGGTCTTGTATATACTTAAGGTTCTTATCTATCTTCTTCTGGTTAGAAAACTTAGGAACCTAAGTTGTAATTTTTATGTTCTTTTTGAATTGTTGTTGCTTCCTATAGAATCTATATCATGTTGTCTGCATTCTCAGATCTATTCCATACTACATCTTTGTAGTTTGGCAATAACCTTGCAAAAGTTTTTTTCTGACCCACTTTGTTCTCTTTATCTGGTGTAGGTGGTATGCAAAACGATTTTTACATCCAGATGTAGTAGCAGCTTATGATTACATTTTTATCTGGGATGAAGATCTTGGAGTTGAGCATTTTAATGCAGAGAAGTAATATTATGTTTTTCATTAGTCAAAGATCCTTAAAATATATAATCCTCTGGCATTTTACCTCACTTTTTGGTGTTTTTGTTTCCATGTTCAATATTTTGTTGATGGAGCTAGGTATATTAATCTGGTAAAGAAACATGGCTTAGAAATATCCCAGCCAGGACTAGAGCCAAATAATGGACTGACATGGCAGATGACTAAAAGGAGAGGTGACAGTGAAGTTCACATGTAGGATTACTGAGCTATTGTATTTTGTTGAGTAATTATTCTGCCATTCTTTTTGTTCTATACTTGGAGGCATAGCTATACCTTCTGCAGTACTAAGGTGTTAATATCCTGTTTACCTGCAGGGAAACAACAGAGAAACCTGGTTGGTGTAGTTACCCGCATTTGCCCCCATGTGCAGCGTACTCTCTCTCTCTGAAAGTTACTTTTGGTCGAAATTGGGGTCAAATGAAAATGGAGAATGGGGAATGCTTCTTAAAAGTTTGGAAATTTTATGTCAAGATATTGTAAAATTGTGAAACATTGGGAAAATTGTAAAGCCCATGGATATTTATCATAATTTGAGCAAATGATAAAGGAAAGCTTAAATACACAATTTAAAGATATTTGCTGGTTTTTCCTTCAATATTAATCTACACTTTAAGCATGAATATGATTTTACTATTTTTTAATTTACACCTAAGAAATCAGGACTGATGCCTGATTAATACAATGTGTATAAGATTAATATTTCCACCAAATATAAAAGGTCAAGGTGGTGTTCATTCTTAACCAAGAAAATGGAAACAATTTGGTGAGAATGAAAGAAGGGGATGATTCTTGTAGATGCAAATTTGAGTGACACTTCTGTCAATATTAGTAAAATCATTATTATTTATGTAAAAAGGTAAAGTTTTCCTGAATGACATGAAACATGTTGAAATGTTGTAAATGCATCTGAAAACATAACAGTTATACATTTTGGCCATACATTTGGAAAGAAAGAAATAAGGAAAAAATGTCTTGGTGCAGTTGATGTATACCAGGATCATGTTCCTTGAATTTATGCTTCTTTTCAGTTCTGATAATAATAATTTTTCATTGATTTCAGTTTTGTGGAGATTATGGCCCCTGTTTTTTCACGGAATGCTTGGCGTTGTGTGTGGCATATGATTCAGGTACCCTTTCAACTTCTATGAACAAAAGTTTCACCTACAGTAACAATAATGTGTTTGATAATTTTCTTGTAGAATGACTTGGTACATGGGTGGGGATTGGACTTTGCACTAAGAAGATGTGTGGAGGTGAGTGACTTTTATTTTTCTTACAACTCTATTTCTTATCCTTTTTTTTTTCTATCCATGTCACATTTCACCAACTGTGTGAATATTTCCATATCATTTATCTTTTATAAATCATTTTTTGTACCTAAAATTTTGCTGAACTTCTTAAAACACATATAATGAGCAGTAAAAATGAAAGTGACCTGTGTTGTTAATTTCTTTTCTGGTTTGCAGATCATGCAAATTACTCATCGTTTATAGGGCTGAGTTGTCTTAAAGTTTTTGAGGTGTAAATTTGGTCTAACTACTGATTTCCACTCCAGATTAGAAACTCAATTAACTTAATAAATGTTAACATGGTCTGAAGTGGTAAAAAATGAATTAATGACTTACAATTTGACAAAAAGCATGGCTCTTGATAGGCATTGGCTGGACAGAATTCCTATAGTTAACCCCAAATAGTTAGGGTTCAGGTTCAGTTGAGTTGAATTTAGTTAATTTTGTAAATGTAGATGTGGATCTAGTCCTCTTGTAACCTTCTATGAACATATGTTTCTCTCTTTAGTCAGGAATGGTCCAATTAGCTGTCTATCATTTCATCCTTTTATGCCCTGTTAAATTCAGTCATACTTTTAGACCACTCAGGAAAATTCTTCCTCTTCTGATTCACTCCTTACATGTTTTGTTTTGTTGTATCTGCACAGCCTGCACATGAGAAGATTGGTGTGGTTGATTCTCAATGGATTGTTCATCAAGTCATACCTTCTTTGGGGAATCAGGTGAGGCATCATCTTTTATGAACTTGTGGAATATTTGATGTGGTGCGTGATGTGGGTATTGTGTAATCTGTGTGTGTGTACAAAGATTTTAAGGGTTAGAACTTACCTGTATGGACTGATTTTTGGCACCATTAGATGTATTAAATGATTGCCCATAGAGAAGCCCTAATGGATGTGTTATATGTAACTTATGGATGTCTATCAATGGTTTTAGATAATTTCCAGAGAATAAGGCAGCACCAATCAGAAATGTACCCTTGTTTTGTTTAATAGTCATGATTTGCCTCAAAACAAGAGCTTCTTTTCTCCGGTTTGTTGGTTTCAGTTGGGACATATGACAGTTCAAGTTGGGGTATGAATATTAAAATAGTTCCCAACCTAACATTACAAATGTTCACGTGAACATTCTCTCGTGAGATCTCACTGCCTTTCTGAAAATATCTCATAATCTAGGTTATGTAACATTATATGAGGGAGGCATGGATGACTAATGAGTAATGACAAGGATAATGATGTCCTAAGGGCATGGACTGAAGTGGCATCCTTATCCAAAGAAAAGGAAAAGGTATTTATGGAGTGGTTACCCCTGGCGGCTAATAAAATTAAACTAAACTTTGATGGAAGCTCCATGGGAAGCATGGGGATGGCTGATATTGGAGGAGTATTTAGGGATTGGACTGGAAAAGTATTGTGTATCTTCTCAGGACCTCTGGGGTTAGGAGATTCACTAAAGGCTGAGCTAATGGCATTATTACAAGGTTAAGAATAGCAATACAATCAAGATTTCAGCCTTTGGAAGTAGAGGGAGATTCAAAACTGATAATTTCTTGGGCCAAAAGCAAGCAACTTGTACCATGGATATACAGGCATGAATTTAGGGAAATAGAGAACACACAAAAGCTGAACATGTAACCTTTAAGTGGGTCAGTAGGAAAGCAAATGGGATGGCTGACACTCTAACAAAGCAAGGGGTATATAGGAAACAGATGTTTTGGGCACCATTGTTATTCCTTTTCTGAAATGGGACTGGAACGAATCCTTATAGGTGCATACACCATGCCCTTGTAATAACCAGATTATCAGTTTAATATAATCCAATTTTCTTGCTGATCAAAAAAAAAAAAAAAACAGAGTAATGACAAGGATATCAATTTGGGGCCTAAGATTCTTGATTTTTGCATCTCAAGGGAGTCTTTTGTTGAGTTCTAGTTTTCTTTATTGGTGACTTGTGAATGTGAGGAGCAATAATTTGTGCTTCTGCTGACATCATTAAATGCAACATCGGCAGCCTTGTTTTCCCTGACTCGGGATCAGCTACCCACTAGTTGTTCCTACAAGGGAGATATTCCCAATGCACAGTTGTCATGTCGTGTGGGTAGAGATGTGGGAACATCTCATTGGTAGCAGATCTGAGCTTGTTTTCCCTTTCCACATCTAGGATGAGCTTTTTGATGGGCTAGTCATTCTAGCAGGACTGACCAATCATTTCAAAGTGTCCATAATGTCCCTCATATATGATCCTTTTCATCTATACATTTTACATCTTCATCCTGTCTTGTTGGGTGTGGGTCCAGCCTCACCTTTCTCATGCCTCTAAAAAGGAAGGCATGTAATGAAAGCCAAAAAGGCTTCTACATTTTTGTTTTTCTCCTATTCGTTACCACCATAGAAGAGAGGTGAAGGAGAGAAGAGAAAAAACCGAGGGTTTTTGGTAGGGATGCAAGTCGGGCGGGTTGGGTTGGGTTTATGGTCAACCCAGGCCCGGCCCTAAAATTTGGGATTAAGGCCCGAGCCCTAGGTCAAGCCTGATCTTCCCAACCTGAGCCCAGCCTGCACTGCAATTTGATGCACTCGGGTTGGGCTTGAGCTTGGGTATATATGTATTTATGCAAATATGTATGTAACTATGCAAAATATATATATATATCTTAGTTGGGCTGGGTTTGGGCTACCTAAGGGTTAGGCCCTGGCCCAGCCTGAAAAATAACAAAGCCTGACTTCCCCGAGCCCAGCCCGAGGACCAATAATCCAAACCCAGCCCGTGTAAAATTTCGGGCTTGGGCTGGGCCTGCTCAAGTTGCACCCCTAGTTTCTGGGTTTGAGTTTGTGAGGAAGGAAAGGAAAGGAAAATTTTCAGTCTCCATTCTAAAGCCAAGTTCGGTGTGTTCTGAAGCCTGTTCTTGATGAAATTTCTGGTGCTGTTCAAGGAAGCAAGAACATCATGTACTTTGTTCTATTACCTCTACTTCTCTCAGTTACATTCTTACAGAAACTGATCTGAACTCTGTTTTTGTTGAAATCCACCTTTCACTTGGTGATGTTGATGCTGTAGTTGTAAGCCAAGGATTACTTCCTTGATGATTGTAAACCTCTAGTTTCGACTAGAGGACTCTTGTACCCATTAATTTCTGAATTAGTGGAAGACTTTTACGGACCATAGGTCCCATGGTTTTTCCCCATTTTTGGGGTTTTCTACTGTAAAAATTCTGGTGTTCTTTTTTTTTTATGGTATATGCTATTATATTGCTGTTGCTTGGCTGAACTCATTTGTCTGTTATTATTGTTGTTGGCAATCCATTTTATCACACAAAACTTTGGGGGAAAGTTTCTTTCTGTCCTGGGATTGTGTTTACATTGACATTCTACAACTGTAGTGTATCTTCCCCAACATGTCTTGTATTTCTTGTTATTCAATTTGCTTCTATAAATTTTCTCATAATTGTTCACTTTCTCTGGACTCGCAGGGTCAGTCTCTCAATGGGAAAGCGCCATGGGAAGGGGTATGTTCTGACCATTTCATATTCATGTTTTCTAGGGCTACAAATTGGATACCTGATTTGAAGAATTTTCATTACATCAGGCTCAGGCCCAGGCCCACCCAAGAATAATTAGATTTAATCCCAAGCCACTTATATTTCTTTAAAATAAAGAATTTTTAAAATAAATTTATATAAATATGAAATTTTAATTGGATTCGGATCTTAACTTGATCAGATGGGTGCTTCCAATCCAATTATGTGAATGGGCTATCAGAATCCAAACTAATCAGATTGGATGTTGAATTGTATTCCATACATTTGGAGTCCATTAACAGCCCTATATATTGATCTTCAAAAGTGGTTAGTTGTTTGTGTGTGTGTGTGTGTGTGGAAACTCAGGCAGGATGCATTTGTGCTCACATAATCTAGCAATGTTGCAATGAGTGGAAAAGTTATGAGGTCCACTCAGCCTTCATGTTTCCCTTATTTACACTTGATTCAGTCTCACCACTGAATGGGTCTGAACTCTGAAGTGAGCAATGCCTAAGGAAAAATCTACATGATTTGATGATGGCAAGTTGGCAACAGATACTTTTCATGTGTTTACCTGACCATAAAATAAGCCAGAAATCAGATGATTGTCTGCCGTGCTGATTTTTGGCATTGTCTATCTTTTATGTGGGACCCACTCCTGTACTGATTTCCTTCCTTGCAAGAGATATGAAGCAACTGAGGTGCTCTCTTCATTCCTTTGGCATTGCACTCTTGTGGCAACAAATGCTGTAGAGGGCATTTTTTTCATTTTACTTTGAGTTTTAACCTCCTTAATGAATGGTGCTATCAGGTGCCTGTAGCCAAGCTCTGATGTGGACCTCTTTTATTCTTAAAAGAGGTGCCTATAAAGATTAGAATTTCTTAATTGAACACCTCTTTTATTCTTAAAAGATCAGATGGAACTAAGCCAGCTTCTCTAAATGAATCTTCTGTTTCACTTCCTACAAGCAGGTAAGAGAGAGGTGCAGAAGCGAGTGGGCAGAGTTTCAAGCTCGCCTTGCCAATGCAGACAAAGCATACCTCGCGCAAATGAGGACAGGGTGACTTGGGTTCCTCTATGAATGCTCTGTTTTGTTATCACCTTTTGTGAATACCAAATGAATTTCCTTTACCTTTACCCCGGAGGGGGGGGGTGTAGTATCAGATCGGATGTTGAATTTTTTAACTGAAATTTTCTTCCATGGTAACAGTAACAAGGTAAACGTTCTCTATTCTTGTTGAGAATCGAGATCTACATTTGTGGAAGGTAAGAAAATTTCACTGTGTCCATAAACTAACTTCTAAAGCATGGTCTAATTGCCTGTTCTTTTTGTTTATTCCCTTCGTTGTAAAAAAAAATGGAAGCGTCTGATTTCTGATTGATAATCATAATCTACTGGCAGACAAATGCACGAGTCTTGCTAGCTTACCTTGGACAAAAGAACTTGCCCAGGTAGTCAGCCCTTTATTTTTCTTGATTTTCAATAACTACTAACTAGTTAGCAATTTATCACTGGAATCTCTTTTAATATTGATTTTCAATAACTACTAACTAGAAAGTTTTGCCCAGACATGTGGCAACCTTAACTTTCTAGAACAAGCATATCAGAATTTGGTTGTTTACATTTTCAAAGAGAAAACCCACTCTTCATATACGTAAATTGCTTTTAACCACATTTAAAATTTTGAATCAGACATGTGGCATTCTAATATAGGTGTCATACATTCAATAACAGTTCTTTTCCTAAAAAATGCAAAAAATGTAGAAGTGGTTAAAGTGTTTATTTACAATCACTTCAGTCTGCAATTTCAATACTTAGTTTTATTTGAATTTCAAATATAAATATAATTATTAAACAAATAGTGAAACTCAAATAAAATCATCGAAAAAAACTCAAATAAAATAATATTATTATAAAAGAGTAAAAACCAAAATGATACATGTGTGACTGCCCTATAACAGGGTCACATACTAGATAAAAGATGATAAATTTTTTAAATCAAATAAAAATCTATCAAAACAACAAATGAAAAACCTAACCTAATTTTTTAATATAAATGATATAAAAAATAAAAAATAAAAAATAGTTCATATTAGTGGCCCCGTACTGAGTACGGGAGTCATGCCTAGTTACTAGAGAAAAATGGTTTCAAGTCCGTGATTGACCTCAACTAGTGGATAATCGGCAAGGTGGGTTAAAATCCCAACTAGTGGATGTACTCGCTTGATGTCCATATCCGAATTGATCCGACTGAAATCGGCTCATATCCGGGAAATGATTCGATCCTTTGACAAATGCCAACCCAATATCCCAATGTTTAATATGATAATATGCAAACTCAAATATGATTACGAGTAAATTTACCCAATTGATGGAAAGTATGGCCGCGTTTGGAAACAATACAAATAGAGTATACTCTGGTTCATTTTTTTTTGTGCTTGGCAACATTACATTTATGCATATTTACATTGATAATAAGATGTAAAAGTATATCAATAAAAAAGAATTAAATTTGTATTCAAGTGGTCTTTTGATAAAAAAAAACATATACTTTATTTGAATTCACATTTGCATCCATTACAGTTAAAGTTAAAAGTTTATTTGGTAAAAAGGTAAATTTGTCAATGCAAAATTAATCCAATTTTACAATCTATATGAACTGTTTTACACTCTACATATTTGCATTCACACTTATTTACATCATTTCCAAACATGGCCTATGTGAGACTTCATTTCGATTTTGGATTGCTGAAGTGGAAATATAAATAAATTCGAATGAAATAATTTCACTTCTTTAGGATTTAGCTCTGAACAAAAAGTAGAACCAAAGGTGTATGTATAATTGGGATCAGTTAGTTTTCCCAATCAGGCAATCCTGGCGCATCTTAAGGTGGCGTTTCGTAGAACTTTAAAAAATCCGAGTGTGGCTCTGGACTCTAATATCTAGATTTTTTTTTTTTAATGTGGTTGAATTGTTTGAATAACTAAAAAGAGATTGTTTTATATGTTTATCCTTCTTTTTTAGACAAGAGGAAAAACAAAGAAAATTGTTTTATAAGAAGAAAATAGTTTTCTATTAGCACCAACTCCACCAAACAAGGAGAATCAAAGAAGAGACGGTGGAGAGATTCCAACCCGAGTCCATTAGGTTCATGGGAATAGGGGTCTGAAATCGGTCTTTTGATTCCAACCTTTTGGTTGGGCAGAGTTGGAATCCAATTTCCAATTCTTAGTGGAATGGCCATCCCCCTCCCTTGGGGACGAGAATCCATTCCAGCCTAAGGGATGTACAATCAGTCGGGGTGTATAATCAGTCGGTTTGGTTAGAATTGATGATCTAATTTGACTATTAGGTTTTACCATCTCTCCCAACCGAATTGGACCGAATTGAGTTTAGAACTGAATCGATCCTAACCGAATTTGGTTAGGTTCGGTTTAGTTTTTAGTTTGGTTTTAATAATTAATGAACAATTAATTGTTAGTCTTTAGTATAGGTTTAAATAATGAGTCTAGGTCTTAATGAACAATTAATACAATTACAACTACAACTACACTCATTTAATGACTAATTATTAAAACAACTACATCCATTCTTCATAAACAATTAATAAATAATTAATAATTAGCCTAAATTTTAATATACATACATATGTATGTATATATATAGCCCCCCACTATTCAAAGAAGTGGGCTTTTCTAAAAAGCTAAATGTGTGGCAATTTTTGAGAAATTTCTACTAAATCCCACAACCCACTACCAGGTTACAACTCCCCACCATTTAGATACATGGCCTTCTCATTTTTCTGGAAAGGTAGACATATGACATTTTTTGAGAAGTTGCTACTAAATCCCACAACCCATTACTACCATTTTCAATCCATTCCTAAAAAAATGCAGAAAATGCAAAAGTGGTTATCCACAACCATTTCTACCTACATTCTATCAATCTCAATTAATCATTAACCCTAGAAAACTATCTATATTCTCATAATTATTGAAAAACTATTTTTTGAAATAAATATTTCTTAAAATTTTAATAATTATTTAAAATATTAATAATTATAAATTTAACAGTATTTATTCCATAACGTAAATTTAATAGACCTGGCAATCGGGTTGGGTGGGTCGGGCTCGGGTTGGGTCAAGGTATTTAAGGTTGATTTCGGGTCAGATTGAATTTCGGGTTGGGTTGTCAAATGCTAGACCCTAACCCTAAATATTCGGGTTAGGGTTGACCCATGGGTCAAATCGGGTCATCCCAAAAAATAATTGAAATTAAAAAAAAATAAGAAAATTTATATGAAAAATGTCAAAATTAAAAGAATTAACCTTAAAATTCCAAATATAAAATAAAAACTTGAACATTTAACAATTTAAAGAGTAAACAATAAAAAGTAAAGACTAAATAGAAAAAATTAAAGAGTGGAAACTTCTAACAATGCATAAACAATCCCAATTAGACTTGACAATTGGATCAACGGGTTGACCCATGACCCAACCCAGTTTTTTTCGGGTTGGGTTCGCGGGTTGGGTCACTTTTTGCCAGGTCTAAAATTTAACATTACTGATTCCCCGTACTTAGTACGGGGTCATCCACTAGTTATTAATTAAAAGATAGAATAGGCCTAAASCTGTAAAGCACAATGGGGAATTGCGAATTTACCATGGGAAAATATAATAATGATTATTTAATAAGTATAAACTTTTAAATAGAATATTACATATTTAATAAACTTAATTAGATATAACCACTAGTTCGATTTTTGGTTTGATTCGGTTGAAAATCTCAACCAAATTGAACCGAACCCGAAAACCGATTTTTTAAAGAAACAAAAACCGAACCAAATTGACACCCAAATTAACTGAATCAAACTAGCTTATTCGGTTTGGTTTGGTTAAGTTTTCGGGTTATCATCCGAATTTGAACACCCCTAATTCTGATTCTAATTCCAGTTTCAAAATAGATGAGGAATACCAGAATAAACCATTTTGATTCTGATTCCGACTGTGAAGCAAATGAACCCTAAAGTTGTAAATGTTACTTTTTTAGGCCTTAGAAGTCCATTTGGAACAAGCAAACACTGCCAAATTTCAGAACTAGCTTCCTTTGCTTTGCTAAAAAAGGGTAAATTTTAATACCTTGTACATTGGGGATTAGCCTCACTTTAGTACTCAAACTTCAAAAACATGCCACTATAGTACTTAAACTCCCGAAAACTGCCAACTTAATCCTCATCATTGTTAGTAGTATATCAGTTATTTATATCACGTGAAGACATATGCAACTTAAAACTTTTGAAAATATCAAAAATCAAGATTGAACCAAAGCAATGATGAACAGCCCCAAACCCACCACCAATCCATTTTCTCTCTCCATTTTATTATTCTCTCTCTTCCCTTCACCTTATGTTGTGAGCTTCCTAAATCTTCCCCACATTTTTCTCTCTCTTTTCCATTGTTTCCCCCTCTTTTTAGTTGCAACATGGATCACATGTAGCAGAGAACAAGCTCTTATGGACCCATTGTTCTAAACCAACTTCAGACCGCCAGCCATCATCTTTGTCAAGAGCTCAACCGAGGGATCCATCTCTAGTGAATCTTAGCTGAAGCACCCGAATCTGTTGAGGTAATCCCACTACGACTTTACAAAAATGAGACTGGGATTATTGGCTTTCCAGAGTTCTTGGATTGACTGTGATTGTTGCTACTTCGAGGTAAAGGTCATGTTGAACTGAGACACTTTGTTGCTTTGTTTGTTGGATTAATTGAAGGTCATGTCGAATTGTGAAGGTCATCTCTAAGCTTTGATTCCAATCTTTTGAATTTGTGGCTTCCCAAGAAACATTAAAACCAATCTCCATTATCTTACTTAAAGAGAAGAAACTAAGGGGGTGTTCTTTTTTTGGATTTTAAGAGGAGGGAAAGTTGGTCAATGAGATTTTGGTTTCTAATTTCCTATTGACCAAGAATCTCATATTCTTTTTTCAGATTAATGTGGGGACCAGGGAAAGTTTATTTTTCTGGGTATTGGTAAGTGATACCATCTCCTAGGTGGGTAAATAATTTTCCCACCAGGGGGAAGTTTCCAACACTTGAGTGGGACAAAAATGCTCCTTTTAATTATAAATTTTTATGGTTAAAATGGTCATTTCCTTTTTTACTTGGGAAATAAAAGAACATGGATAAATACACTTGCTTGGGTAAGTGTTTCCTAAAAAAAACTTACCAGATAATTGCATTTATCCTGGTAAATAACTTATCGAAAAGCGAATGGAGCCTAAGAGATAATATTTTTCGGATTTTGAAATTTCATCATTCTAGATATGGAGAAGGGTGATAGAGAATTTGTCTGTGTGATTGGTTTTATGGGCATCTATTTACTTTTGATTGGAAAATGTTGATTGAAATTGGACCTTCCCTTTTCCTAGTAAGCAACCCTGTGTATTAGAAAAGGCAGAGGTTGAATTTGAATAAATGAAAGCCCGGTTTGAACTCGTCATTTTCTATTAAAAAAAGCTCTGTTCTATGTAATGGGTGGTGAAGAAAAATGGAGATTTATCTTCCTGCAAAACAAAATGAAAAATTATTAGAGCCCAACCAGTGATTCCAATTTGTTTTTGTGGATTCTTCTAGGTTGTGCTTGGTTTGTATAGATTTCCTTATCTTTTCCTTCAAATCAAACATAGCCTTAATGGATTTTGGAAACGGAGGAAATGTGTCTATTGGAAGGCTTCTATAAGTTGACGTATAACTATATAAGATTGGTATTTGACAAATTGATTCGTCAAATTAAACACCCACTTGGTTGCAACTAAGGCCATGTTGATTGTAAGTTGAAGTATAACTGTATAAGATTGGTATTTGACAAATTGCTCTCCTCTATTGGTTTGTGAGAGATTTAAGAAAATTAGATGACAGCTAAAGGATATTTGTGTTCTTTTACATGCTACTTAACGTGGATAAACGATTTTGAACTAAATTGACAGTTTTGAAGAGTTAAGGTACTATATTGACACTTAAAATTCAGATACTAAAGTAAGACTAACCCTAAAGTAGAGGATACTAATCTGCAATTTACCAAGAAAAACTAAAACCATTGAAACCTTTCAAATAACTGTCAATAAAATGGCTGAAAATGGGGGAATATAGGGTTATTGAGGGGTCATTTTAGTGGTAAAGGTGCACCAAACATATGGCGATTATGTCTACTATCTCTAGCGAATATTGATTAGTTGACATGTCACAAGTATTAGCATTAAACATATGTCATAAACCTGACCATTGCAACCTTTTTTAGCTGTTCAGTACTGCCGGTTGATGGAGCCTAGAGATGATTGAAAAGGAAAACACAGACCTCTAACCAACTTCATTTTTGTTGCTTGGAATTTAATTTAAGCCTGTACACAAGTTCCACCGTTTAGTACCCTCTAGTCTCACCAGCCCCTACCAACATTCTTCTCGTCCAATGGCTGTAACTAATTATTGAACATTTTCTCTTGGCATTAGACTAAATGAACATCATGGTCCCAATTCCAGTAGTTGGGAAATCAAATCAGCTTTTAATTTAATTTAACAAGGAAAAAAGAAAGAAAGAAAGAAAGAAATCCTAGAACCAGTGAAACCTGTACTTCTGTTCAGGAAGGAAACATTAAGTTTTTGCTAATCATTTAAGAAATAGAGCAGGTTACACATCTAGATTAAAATGTATAACCACTTCAATATAATCTTCCAATCAAATGAAAGAATATCTTAATCAGTTCTATGATATTTTTCTGGGCTCAACAGTCAACCCTCAATAGTACTGTGCCAAGTTGTAGGAGTGGTTAGCAGAGGAAAAAAAAGAATGAGGGGGGGGGGGGTGATGGAAGGATTTTTGAGTGAGTAAGAAGTTTCTTCACCAACCAATTATTGAATATTGTGGGGATGGCAAGCTTTGCTTGCAATGCCAGATATCTCCGAAATAAAGAAACAAATGTTTATCATATTTTATACATTTCACCTTACTAACTTCACCATTAAGCCTCATGTCTGTAATCAGTTGCAGCAAAAACATCAACACAGAAAAGCTTGTAAGTAGGTGAATACATACTTGACTGAATGGGATGGCTTATTGCATTGCTTTCTGGTGAGTGTAAGTCATTCAGTTCAGTTAGTTGAGTCACTTGTCTTGCTACTTAACAGGGAAATATAGAATTGAAGTAATGTAAGTAGAAGGGGAATTACCGTCATTGAGCTTGTAATTTTCCCTCTCTCTCCTCCGCTCTCCAGGAACACGACCAACAACCTCACAAAATCAAAAATAAAAGGGCGCAAAGCAGAAGTAAATTAAGCTACGTTTCTCGTTTCTCTAGCTCTCACCACCATCTCTTCCGGCCAACCTCACCGGGCTGCGACAGCGACGAATACCCGCCATCCAGCTAGTTTCCCGGTGAGGATCCTGCGGTACCTGCCCAATTAGCAATATCCTTCGTTCGGCGATTCCCAGGAGCTGTAAGGACGATACCAACCTTTTTGGGGGCTGCGAGGGCTTAGCCTTTAGTTTTAAATTCGAATCTTACTATTTCAAGGTGACTTTCTCTCGCTCTATCTCCCTCCCTGTTTCTTGGAGTGTCTGTTCGACCCTTTTTTTTTCTTTTTCTTAGGAAAAATAAAAAATCTTCGTCGTCGTAGTCTTGGCTTCTTGCTAGTGAGTGAGTAACTGAGTAGTGATTTGTTGCCTTTTCTGTTTCGTGATCAATTTTTTTTTTCGACAGTGCAACGCTTCTTTTCTGAGATTTGTTGCTGCTTCTTGATTTTTTTTTTCAAAATTTTCTGCATTTCCTTAAAAGATAATTACATAAAAGTGGAAGGACCTAACCTGAGGACCCACGGACTGCTCCGGCCCCTGGTAATTTGCCACATGCCCCCAAATCTTTGTAATTAATTAGGAAAATGGTTTCTCTCTTTTTCTGGTTTCTTTTCATCATTTAGCTCAGTTTGGATATAAATACATATTGAAAATACAAGGTTATAAGTATATAAAATAATTCAAAATACAAGGTTTTGTACCGAAGGACTAYAAGTACAAATATGTATAGGTACAAATACATTAGGGGTGCAAGTTGGATTGGCTGGTAACGGTTTACACTGTTTTGGACTTAGGCCTATTAAAACTTTGACAAAATCCTAACCCTAACCCGAAAAAGTTGCACCCCTAAAATACATACAAAGCAATACAAAATGTCATATTTGTATTTGTATTCCTTCCAAACTGAGCCTTAACTATTCGGGTGACTGAATTGGTGGAAAATACCATTTTGAGGAATGGGGCATTATCCTAATAAGGATCAAAATATCACGGGGTGTATTGCATCGGTATCCATAGCCATGATACGGGATACACTATGGTTGGATATATATCCCATGAGTTTTGTATATCATCACAATATGTTTTCATGTCATATTGAAGGTTATGGTCCGATAAACACTGATATGGAAATGTATCAATTTCTAGTTTGACAAATCTGTATATTGACTGATTTTAGATTGTTTTTGAACTATTTGAAAAAATGAATATTTTAAGATTTAATTTTCCTCCAAAAAATAATAAAAMCTAATGATTATAAAAAATAATTTATTTTATCTACTTTAAATGATTTATTTCACATATAAATTATATGCTAAAAATGAAAATATTTTATAATTTCAAAAATAGAGTTATTATTTATATAAAAATAATAAATAAATAAAAATTTTTAAAAAATTTAATAAGAATTCAAAATTAAATTATAAAAATTGAAATAGAGTGATAATTATTGTATGATGTATATATATTCTAGAGATCAAAGTGTCTGTATCAATGAATAAGATATAAATATATTAGAAATGCACACTTTAATATATTGTGTTTGGTATAGGAGCCATTGCTGGAATCAATGATTTCACCTAAAAATTGGGAGAAAAGCTAAATCCAGTGCTAACTCCCAAATTCTATTGTTTATTTCTATTTATTCCTATTTTAAGATAAATATGTGCCATTAGGTGCCATGTAGGGCAAACACTTCTCTTAACAATAAAGGTGAAAAATACAATGTTTTTTAGAAAATTGATTTCAATATAAATGGTAAAAAATTGCAAAACACTTTTTACCTAAAGGAACCTCAACCAAATAAGAAGTAGCTTGAAATATCTATATGGTGGTTTCTCTTGAGAAAACTGCTCCAATACCAAATTACCAAACACCATAATAGTGAAAAGACAGAGAAAACCCATTTTATGGTGATAAAGAATCATATACAGGGGTGCTTTAGTTTATGGAAACTATTTGACATTATAACTGTATGTTTACAAGCCATATGATGGCATGGCATCCTTGGCATGACATTGGGTGTCAATTGGACTGGATTTGGTCCAATCCGATCAAGTCCAATGTGAGTTGATTATAAATGGATCAGGTCCAATCCAATCCAATCCAATGAATGTTTTGGACCAATTTGGACCGGTCCAATTCAATGTCTGGACCGTCCAATCTGTTTAAATTTATTTTGGTTTAGATTGGTTTCAATCCAAATCCAGTCCATTGACACATATATTCTTATCTTATATCAATGGACTAGATATTGGCTTAATCCAACCTAATCCAGTATAAATTTGTTATGGATGGATCAGGTCCAATCCTATCTAATAAATATTTTGGACCGAATTGGTCCAATCCAATATGTCTTGTTGGTCCGTCTAATCCATCCAAACCGATTTTGGATCGGACTCCGTCAGTCCATTGACACCCTTAGTTATGGGCTCCTGCTTCTCATAACCACCTAGAGTTTTTGCCAAGTAACATCATCTTATTCCCTTCCATATGCCTTGCAAGCATACCTACCTTAGGCTCCCTTCGCTTTTCGATAAATTATTTACCTAGGTAATTGCRCTTACCCGGATAAGTGTTTCCATCTTTCCGAGGAAATCCAGGTAAGTGCATTTATCCATGTTTTTTTATTTCTCAGGTAAATAAATCAATGACCATTTTAGACATAAAAATCCATTATTAAAAGGGACATTTTTGTCCCATCCAAGTGTTGACAACTTTCCCCTAGGTGTGAAAACTATTTACCCACTTGGGAGTTGGGAGATTGGTATCACTTACTACTTACCCAGAAAAATAAACTTTCCCTACTCGTCACATAAATATGAAAAAAAGAAAATAGGTTTGTTGATGCTCTGGTTCGTCACTTTCTTTTTTCTCTAATCGTTACTTGAGTTCTTCTTCTATTCTATTGGCAAGTAATGGAATATCGTTTTTATTTTCTCTAATGGTGACTTTCTCTTTAGTTTTGCTTTGTCCTTATAGGCAAGATGGGTGAAACACCAAGCTTCCAACTGGGTGTTATTGGTGCTCTGGTTCTTTCCGTGGCATCATCAGTGTCCATTGTCATCTGCAACAAAGCCTTGATGAGCAATCTTGGCTTCCCATTTGGTATGCACTCCCGTTTCTTTACCTAATTACATTACATGGGCTCTTAATCCGTTTGGTGGGTTCTAATTATTGAATTCAATTCCAAGTGGCCCTGACCCACTCATTTGGTACTTGGTAGGCATTAATATAAGCCTACCGGCTACCGCTAGGTGTAGCCCTAGCCGATTAGGCATATAACTGCGGTGAGAGAATCCCATTTTTATAGTAGAAGGATAAGCCTAGCTAGGGCCTAGGAATGATAGGATCCCAGTAGATGGGCTCAGCCCAATGGACTTCCTTTGGGTTTGAAGCTTAGGCCTTAGGGAACCAATAGTTTAAAGTAGTGGGTCAAATCTGGGCTCAGCCCGGCCCATTTGCGTTGCTCTGTTTGAGTCTGAGTAGAGTGTGGCCGAGTGATGACATGATCATCACCTTTTGCAGCGACAACCCTCACTAGCTGGCATCTCATGGTCACCTTTTGCACTCTCCATGTGGCACAACGCTTTAACGTGTTCGAGAACAAGTCGATCGACATGAAGACTGTGATGCTCTTCGGCATTCTAAACGGTGTGTCCATTGGATTACTCAACTTAAGTCTTGGGTTCAACTCCATTGGTTTCTATCAGGTGAACCTAATAATTAATATTAATGCTAGCTATTTATATCCTGGTTTGTTTACTGCAAACACTTGTATATGTGATTGATATGATTGCTGGAGAAATGATGTTGCAGATGACCAAACTTGCAATCATACCCTTCACCGTGTTATTGGAGACTGTATTCCTTAAAAAGCAATTCAGGTATACCCTTCTTTCTTTCTTTTTAATTCAATAAATTTGTCCATGTTCATTAAATTCTTTCTTTCCTTCTTTATTCTTTCAGCCAGAAGATAAAATTTTCGCTTTCCCTTCTACTTATTGGAGTTGGCATTGCATCCATAACTGATCTCCAGCTGAATCTCGTTGGATCAATCCTCTCACTTCTGGCCATTGCAACAACATGTGTTGGTCAAATTGTATCCTTTTCATTCCACATTTTAGCCAAGTTTTCCTCTGCTATATGTGCGCTTAGGGGAAGACTCTGTAAACACGATCCTATGTGAGAAGAATAGGATTGATTAAGTGTTAATAAAGAAGGGTAATTATTAATTAAAGACCCATCCAAGTGATGAAACAGATAGGCTGGATTGGTGGATACCCGCCTGAATTGTGAGAAGTAGCTAGCTAGATAGACATGAATAAAAAATGGGTAATTAAGACCTTCATCCAACGTAACCGAAGTTGTCCTTTAACCAGAATTGAATGTAAATAGCTGACAAACACCATACAGAAGAGGCTCAATGTGTCCTCTACGCAGCTGCTCTACCAGTCTGCGCCCTTTCAAGCTGCTATACTTTTCGTTTCAGGCCCCTTGGTGGATCAATGCCTCACCAAGCAAAACGTCTTTGCCTACCGATACTCTCCTGTGGTCTTGGTACGTATGATAATCCCATTCTTGATTATTTCCATGCATCGATCGATCATTATTTAATTTAATGTGTTAGTTGTTAGTTGTTACCCAATCCAATCAATATTGAGTATTAACACACAAGTGACAATGTGTGTGCAGGCATTCATCATCCTTTCATGCTTGATTTCTGTGTCTGTCAACTTTAGCACCTTCTTGGTGATTGGCAAGACATCCCCGGTGACATATCAAGTGCTTGGTCATCTAAAGACATGTCTTGTTCTTGGTTTTGGTTACACATTGCTACATGATCCCTTCACAGCAAGGAACATTGTTGGCATCTTGATTGCCATTTTCGGGATGGGGTTGTATTCATACTTCTGCACTCATGAGAACAAAAAGAAACAGGCAGCCGGTGAATTCTTGTCAGCATCTCAGGTACCCCTCTCCCTCTCTCTCTCTCTCCCACACACACTGACGGACACACTTAATTAGCTTTAATTTCCCTGGTTTTAAATTTGTTTTAAAGAGTTTAACTTGTTCTGGATGGATTTCGAACTGAAAATTTTGGCTTTGATGTTAATCCAGATCAAAGATAAGGAAACTACGCCCCTTCTGGCAAGTAAGAACATGGGTATCCAAGATAAAGAAAGTCACGAGGCTAAGAAATCTTCCAAGGATTCTCTTGTTTAGAAATAGAGAATGTCAAAAACGCATTCCTTTCCAGATATTTTGATTGGTGTAAATGATTTTGATTCTTTAAATAAAATATCAACTCTTCTTGTTTCATTGGACCTTCATCTCCGCGCGCCTTGGTTTCATGATATAAATTTGTCTGTGTATGTGTGTGTCAGAGAGTGAGAGAGAGAGAGAGAGAGAGAGAGAGAGAGAGAGAGAGAGAGGTGTCAATGGATGATTCAGGTAAGACTAAAATGCGTGGTTTTGTTGTATACATTGCAAACATATTTTCTGGAATGTGGGCTTGACCATAATTTGGGCTGGGCTTAGCTAGCTCCTTGTAGTAGATGCATCATCAGTTGCCAGCTGATTCAATAATTGCAGTGGATGTGCCACACTGCCACTTGTGTGTTACGTGATCATCCCATTTATAATCCCAGACTGATCAGAGAGTACTACTGCTTTCGAGAGTTTCAAGTATCAAAACACTCAAAACTGATTAGCAGACGTTTAATCTGCCTCCAACACGACTCACGAGGAGCCCCACACCACAGATCTATCAATTTAGCAGAACAAAAAAAAGAAAAAAACCGTTTTCTTTTAGCTACAAAACACGAATCTCTCTCTCTCTCTCTCTCTCTCTCTCAATAAACACAGTAATCTCTGCAGGGATGTTGCTTTGGGCCTCAATGTTCCAGACGGAGGCCAAAATTGCAGTGCCCAGTTCTCATCATCGAAAAGTGGTTGACACAGATGGAAATCAGCTCCAGACTGGATTAGAGTATTATATTGTTTCTGCAATCGGATCGAGGAGGTGGTGGAGGTGGGGTAACCATTGACAGGCGAGAAAGTTCAAGCTGTCGAACACCCACTGGCCACTGTGAAACAACACTCCCACGCACGACATCAACTTTGGTAGTCCTGTGACTTTCTCCCCAGCAATATTGAATTCGTCGGAAGAGTTTGCCGGAGGATCTCGCCGGCACCTGAGAGTCAGAGTGAGAGCAGAGACACCATCAGAAGCAAGAAGCATCGAGGAACAGACCGACTTGATGAACATTGGGTTCTCGGGTACAAAGAGGGTGTGGGASGTGGAAGAGGCTGACAGGTCATCTTCATCACCAAGGCCAAAGCAGCCAGCAGGAAACAAGGTAATCCAGGCTCCTCCACAGTGAGGAACTGGTTCAAAATAGAGAGGATCAGCAGGTCAAATAAGCTAGCCCTGAGTATCGATCGGATCACCTACTGTCCTAGTGTTTGCGAGTCATGCCATGTTGTGTGGGAATGTGGGGATCACTATATATATAAGGAGAATGGCAAGAGGTGGCTCTCACCTTTCAGTCTCAGTGTCACAACAACAACAACATAGAGACTTCCCCTTCGTGTTTGTGAAATTGTGAGGTTCAGCCACACCGACAATGACTAGACACAGCCCGGAGGCTAGTCTACTATAGCTAAGAGACACGTGCACGGAATAACAATTAATCAATTTGTTTTAATTTCTAGCCAAGTGGCCACTATCTCTGTATGTCTGATAATCCCACATACACTATCACTATGCAGTTGATCTTAATCTCTTTCCATCTTTTTCTAATATTCAACTCTTCTAGCTAGATTAATTAGATCGATCATGGAGCAAAACGTACAGTTAATATTCATGTTTTAAATAAATTAAATTTCTTTCCAATTATATTATAATAAAGAGACTGTAGCTAGCTTGGGTTTTAGTTTAGACTTTAGACTCTCTCTCTCTCTCTCTCTCTCTCTCTTTCTCTTATTGCTCAAGCAAGCTCATCAGCAAGTGCAGTTAATTGTGGTTAACTTGTAAAAGAAACTAGTAGTGGGTGTGGTACATAGTACATACAAATACAACTATATATATAAATACATATAAAGTTGGCAATCCAAAGTAGCAAATAAACAAACAGAGAGCGCGACAGAGAAATGGAATCAAGAGTTTAAGAGTACAGGTTGTCCCTGCATTTCCCAAGTGCATGAGCCTTTCTCATGCATCCCCCATCGAATAATAACAGCTCGTACTTGCCTACATATATATGTGGTGGAGACATGAGAAGGTGGCCCCTGTTTCTCCTACACCAATCTGCAACCAGCGGCCCTACACTTCTCCAGTGTCGATTAATTGTCTGTTGTTGATAGCTTTCTAGTAAGTAGTTCCATCTTCCATGGTAAAACACTAAAGTGTTGAAAACAGACCTGGCCCCATCTTACTGACTCCTTTCTCTTCCCCCATTAATAATGACAACTTACGCCTCCTATTGCTTTCTTGCCTAAGCCTCTGTTGCCACCTTGTTAAACGTACTCGTGCAAAACATTTAACTGAGTTTCATTTGTCACCATTCAACTTCATACCAATTTGTAGGACATGAATTATTGAGTAGAGTCCTTATATTTCTCTTGAATACGTACACAGATGACAAACGGTGAAGGAGAGTTACAAACTATGCTTTCTGACAATCTTGGCCAACGAAGAACACCTCCCCTCCCCTCTCAAAACAGAATTTACTACGGCACTCTCAGATGTTAAGAACCATTAGTATCCCCAAATGCCCATCAAAAAAGTACATCAACAGAGAACCCACATGAGGTCTGAGTGTTGGGGGAAGCAAGAGGAGGAACAGGAAATGAGTTCATTCTTGAGAAATGGGAACAAACGTTTTAATTAGGAACTATGATCTTTACATGTTTATTCTTATTCATGCTTACATCAAATTCTTGATGGGTGATGGCTGCAGCTTGAATGAAACAGCCTACTTCACAACCTAGGTACCCGATCTGCTATTTAGTATGTTTTGCAGGACAGTGATATATACTCATATGTATCCATCTTAGTTCACGTGCACTGGCCACTGGGTGAAGAAAATAGCTTAATTTTGGTTGATAAATTTAATAAACTGCTTCATTCTAAGAAATGGGAATCTTCTCCCACTCTAGCACTGGTGGTTGAACATGGAGATTACTCCACCTTCAACGCGAAGATGCTACCTCAACATGGACCAAGAACATAATAAGGTAGATCTGTTTCAATTCAGTTGCACTACTTGCCAAGATTTTAGGGGCACAAAAAGTCATTATAAACCCCCATGAACAGAATACATCGGCAGTAATCACATTTGATGATGTGACAACGATCTACTTTCACAGTGTTAAATTTCAAATTCATGTGGAATTGGAGTTCTTTCTTTCTAATGATGTCACGGCACAGAGAGTAACTACCATGTAAATGTCATCATTTTAAGGGGCAATTGCAGTTCCTTATATTATATACCAAAAATATTTTGGAGTTGGAACATACATAAACTAGGTTTCCAGCAAGAAGGTAACAACAGTAAGGGAACAATGAAGTTTCACATTCGAGGCCATCTGTTTTCTACACAAAGAATTCTAGCATTCTAGAACATTCTGGTCTTCCAAATTAGCCCCATCCACTGTCAAAGTGCCTCTCATCTCCACCCTTTCTCTCTACAAACACCTATGCTTCTTACCGAGAAATATCACAGTCTGAAGAGTAGCCAAGCTGTTCCATCTCCCAGCTCAACTGAGATGCAACTTTTTCATGGCGGGGGAAATACTCCTGCAATCATGAAATAAGAAACCCTTTGTGACTGACATTCATACTAAGGAACAATTATATCACTGCGAAGGCCTAAGCAAATGGAGTCACATGTATGCCTCTGACAAACTCATGTTCATCAGTACTTTTGTTGGTGTATTTAGTTGTTTACCAGTGTTTATGGCAAGTACATGGGTTTCTACATGCTTGTTACATATTCAAGAAATGCATTAAGGTCCTAGAGGTCAAGAAAGGGAAAAATTGTCAAGAAAAAAGGTTAGAATGTGCATAATAAATCTTAGCAAGCAAATCTCAAGTTCAAACAAGATGTTTCTTTGATGGGTTTTAAATTTTTAAGCAAGAAACAGGTATCAAACAGAGCAGGCTCCAGCACACACAAGTGAAACAACCCTGATACTGTACTCAGGTTTTGATATATAAGAATGAAACGTACTTCACCTTTTTCCAAAAAAAAAAAGAAAAAAGGTACACATAACCTTATAGCTATAGGCAGGTAGTTCCAAGATAAACAGTAACAGTGTTCTTCCATGGATCAGATAAAAAGGTTTAGAAACCATTACCTCCAATTTCTTCACTAGTTCCTTTGCTGTAGGGGCTGAGACAATAATATGGCGTGCACTTGGACTAATAAAACCTTCCTCTACAGCTTTGTCAACAAATGACAGCAAGGAGTTGTAGTAACCATCAACATTCAATAAGCCCACCTGTAAAGTTGGAAAAATGAATGAAATTGCAATTCTGAATATATGTTTAGATACTTTACAATGAGTTTTGAGATATGAATGATTAAAATTGATAAGATGTACAACCAAGTTTTGAATTTAAAGCTCTGCCTATTTCATTCTAGAAGAGGGAATTTTTGTTTTTGTTTTCAAATTGAAGTATTTCAGCTATAACTTTGCCTCCTTTTATGGCAAGGGCTCTGTTTCTCACCCCTTTGGCATAATGGCATCCACACAAATGCAGCCTAAAGAAAAGGGACACTTCACTTGTGGACAGTGACGGATCCAAGACCTTTGATCAGTGGGGGTAGGGTATCCAGTGAGGAGGATGGGTATCCAATGAGGACGAGGAAAATGTTATCCATTCTATTGGGATCTTACAGCCTTATACACAAGAAAAATGAAAATAAACTTATTTGAAACTGGTGGTCTTGAAGACGCCATGAGGATATGTCTCATTACTCAATGAGAACGAGGAATATTGTCATCTCTAGATTTGAAGAGACGAGGTAGAGGAATGAGATTGAGCTATTGAGGGATGTGAAATGGCAAAAGAAAAAGAAAAAAAATTAAAAGTTAAAATCCTAAATCCCAAACCTCATAACTTGTCAATATGGAATAGAGACATAGGTGTCATTCTTCTATATTTTTTCTTTATTTCTTACCTATTCACCTCTAAAAAAATAACCCAATTTAAGAAGCCAAGCAAAATTTTATTTGAGTGGGGGCAATTGTAAAAACATTTAAATTTCTTCATAGTTTTCATAATTATATAAAACTTTTTTCAAATCTCAATGGGGGCAATTGCCCACACTGACCTCTACATAGATCCGCCACTACTTAAGGAAGTGCCAAAAACAAGACTTACTGGTTTATCATGTATGCCTAGTTGAGCCCACGTTATCACTTCTAGTAGCTCTTCAAGAGTCCCATAACCACCTGCATACATGCCATATGGTTTCTTCAATCTTCCATAGTATTAGTAAAGTCAAACTATCACATGATGCATTGAAACAAATTAAGTAAAGCAAGAGGTGAACAGTCGAACACAAATTGTGTTTAAGAATGCATGCCTTAACAACAGTGATTGAGAGAGTTAAAAGGATGGTCACTATGGTTTTACTTTGTCTTACTTCACAGAAGATTAGAGTCATTTACTTTGACTAAGGTTCAAATTAATGTAACTACCTCTACCCAAAAAAAAAAATGTAGCTGCAAAATATGCTTTTGTTGTGGCCTAATTGATTTCATGGCTTGCTGAACTTAAAAGATCCAAATAAGCCTCTTAAGCCCACATTTTCCAAGACATTTCATTTATTATTTGGCATCCTATGTGGAAGTTTTTTTTTTTATTTTTTTGGTAATAACTTCCCCCTTAACCCCTTTTTCCCCAAAGTACTGGTTGCGGGATTCAATTCTGCATCAATGCTGGAATGAACCAGCTAACACACCAACGAGCCAGCCCTCGGTTGGTTCTCTGTGGAAGTTTAATGAGCAAAGAATACGCCACTTAATGGACAGAGCATTATCCACTCACAACAGCTTCAGGAACCCAAGAAGATGAAAATGACTGGTTTGCCCCTGCATAACCTTGGTCTTTTCATTGCCAGAATGTCTTACACTCCGGTGAAAATTACCACCAAACCTTCAGTAAAACTGAAGGAGATCTGTTGCCACCAGTGGGTGATAGTTGGTAAAACAAATTGGTGAAAGTATTTATGGGATTTCTTTTCCTTAATTTGGCATATACATTAGTACAGAGTATTAGTGTTATCAGAGCTGCTGCAGAACTATTTCGTCCAAAAAAAGAAAGTAAAAGCCACATTGACCACTGAAGTAGTGTTATTCAGTAGCCCTGATTTTCAGTGTCTGACGTTGATGGATCAGTAACTAGGGTTTCAAGGGTTGCTCTGTAATCATGGGTCTTGGGGTCCGTGAGAGCAAACTCAAACAGTTGTGAAAAGTTATGTTGGGTACAGTTGCTTTCACACCATTTCCATGTATAGTAACAAAATAGAACAGGCTTAGAGACAAAATATTGCGCTACTTCTGCTTTATTTTTATCTAATAAATATTTCTACTACAATGGGTGGAAGACTGTTTTAATTGTTTTTCTTTCTCTTTCCTTTTCCTTTCATTTTGGATAGGATATCTGGCTAGTGGTTAATAATTGTATGTGCATGAATTTATTTATTTATTGCTTTAGCTGTTAGAACTTAGAACTTAGAAGATCAAATGAAAGCATTCAACTTTAAGTCGGGGAGTGCTTGAGCACTCTACAATACAAAAATCAAATAAGGATCATTATCAAGTAAAGTGGATATAGTAACTTAAGGGATCATCTTATGCTCTCTGTTTTATTCGCTCCTTTTCTCTTTCCAACTTTCTGAAGTCAAAAAGAACCTTTCTGCAACGTTGCAAATTTAGCACTTGCAGTATCTTCTTTCACTTCTGAAAACTGAAAACAGAAATTCAAAATAATAACCTTGTATATTAAGCCAAGTTTAAGAAGATAAGAAGAGGAATCTAGAACTCCACTTGGGTGGCAAAAGTTTTTGAAAATAGTGGCATGTTTTGTTTCCTTCTTTGTTTTATGAATTGCAGCTCATATGTCAAGCAAGGAAATGAAACTGGTTTTTACTTGAAGCCAGAAGCTGGGGAATTATTAGAGTGATTTTTTGGTAGGGATGGTTAGAGAAACAAAAAGTTGATGGGATTTCATCTTTCAAAAAGAAGATTACATTGAACAATTGGGCATTTATCAATCTTTACTGTGTTTGGGAAGTAAGTGTGAATATTGGCCGAGTCTCAGGATTTACACTAACCGGGTAGTGCAATAAAGGCATCTGACTGTCTAGCCATCTCTGCCTTCCTTTGGTGCATATCTGCAACTGCCTTCACTTCCCCTACTGTTTCACCACATATCTGCAACAGGGTACGAAGGAAAAGAAATCAAAATAACCGTTTAGAGAAAGTTGGCCACGGACACACGAGAGAGAGTGAGAGAGAGAGAGAGAGATTTCAAGGCTGCAATTTTTCAATCAAAATAAATTTTTATGGAGTGTTGTGCAAGGTAGAAATAATGAGTGATGCAGGATATTGAGCTCAACCAAAGTCCTCTACTTATTGAAAGAACTTCTTTCATGTGGAGACTAACTGAAACAACAGCACTCATTAGGAAACAGAAGGAAACTGAAAAAAGAAAGAAAAAAATAAAGAAAAAACAAGAGAAAGCGCGAAGTGTAAAGGATAGAACAGAGAAGGAGAACGAGCAAACAGAAAATAGGGGGAAAAATCCAAGTAGAGGCAAACTGAAAAAAGAAAAAAAAAACAGTAGCTTCTAGGACTGTAGCTATCAATCAGAAGTTATAAACTACCCAAATAACCAAGTGATATGATGGGTAACTCCATTAACCCCACAAGGCCACATGTGAAAATTAGAAATTTTAAAGGCAGTCAAAAGCTTTTATTCTCTCTCTCTCTCTCGTTGGAATCACAATACTCCAAGATCGGGGAAAAGCTAAAAGGGGGGGAGCCAGATTTTAGAGACAGTACCCAAAGACCAAAACCCCAAAAGAAAAGCTAAAATAAATGGAGCAAATAACAAAGTAAAGTAAAAATAACTACATTTGTTCATCTATGAAAAGAAATACAGAGAAATCTCTCTCTCTCTCTCTCTCGGGCAGGGGAGTACCCTCTCGCCTTTATCCTTTTCTCCATTAAGACATAAAAAGCTTCAAAACTTTTTTTTTCTCAGTAGTTATAGCAGGCATACCTCTCGAGGCATGAGTGTCTTGGGAATAACTCTGGACGGAAGACAATAACATGACAAAGTTGAGTTTTGATGAAGAATACAAATCAACAAACCGAAGTCAAATTAAACTGAAATTTCAATTTATTATAGAGAATTGTAGACGGAAAGGAAGCTAACCCAATGACATGCCGACCACCATTATAAACAGCTTGTGAAACCAAACCCATCAAGCCCACACTTCCTCCTCCATAAACCAGATCAATGTTCCTTGACACCTATACCGAAGAGAAACCAGATTAAATAAAATTTGAACAAAACCGTTTTTTAAGTTTCCAGAGAGAGAGAGAGAGAGAGCAGAGGCATTTAAAGTTTACACGTCAGTGCATCAATCTCAGATAAGAGAGGAGATGCAATTTGGGCGATGAACACAACATATGATTACGAGTCCGATGAACACAACAGATAAGAGAGGAGATGCAATTGGGTCACTTGATGCAAGCGGGTTTTGAAATATATAATAGTTTCCAGTTGTATTTTGAGTCTGCTTCGTGGTTTCGATATTCCAGATGCAAACCTTACATGTCCATCTTGTGTATTTGTACGTGCGACTGCGAGCAGCGTACGTGTTTGTGCACTTGTATGTTTATGTTGTGTCTGTACGTGTTTGTGCTCTGTTCTCGCAGAGGCAAGAAATATGTACAAAGGAAAATGGAAGATTGCTTAGCTTCAAGTCGTTGAGAAAACACAGAACAGAGAAACGCATAGCGACACCAGCATACCATAAATCAACACATGTAAACCAATCTTCTAAAGCTCCACTAAATCCAAAAGAAAACAGAATGAGAAACAAAACTCTGTTCAACGAAACAATCTTGAAGCAAAAGCCTGTGACCAAATTAAACTGACAGAACAACAAAAGAGTGGCGGGAGGAGGAGGAACGAACTAAATCAACTTCTAATGATCTCCTTCCAGCAATACCTATCAGAACTCCAGAAAAGGAAAAACTAAAACTGAGCTAAAGCAGAGCCTAGTCTCTAGCAAGAACCAAATTTGAAATCCTGTATAAGCTTCAAAAGCCTGAAAGAGAATACAGATGCAATAACACATTAAAATGCGCAAGCAAAAAAAAAAAAAGAAGAAGAAGAACAAGGGAAAAAGACCTAAAACAGAGGCATGCGAACTGACAAGATAGAAAGAAAACGAAAAAGAAAAAGATATAATACCAGCTCCCTCCCAAGCTCAATAGCAGCATCTTGATAGCTGCTCTTCTTTCCGTTGCTACTCCCACAGAAGACACAAATCCTTTTGAATTTGGAGAGCTGCATTTCGTTCTCCATCTCCATCCTCTCTCTCTCTCTCTCTCTCTCTGTCTCTCTCGTCCCTCCCCTATAATGTCTACTCTCTGAGATGTCACCCTCTATCTTTCAGCTGCTCTACCTTTAAATTCTACTCTCTCACACCCAGACTACGAATGCTAAGTGTCTCCACACAATTGAAATTCTGATCCTCTCTTTCTCTCTCTCTCTCTCTCTCTCTCTCTCTTATGAATCGCAGCAATTTGCAGTATCACAACTCACAAATACAATACAAAAAGCCCGCTACTCCCCACCTCTGATCACGCCAATTTATAAGCCGGGTCACACGTGCGCACACAATGGCACGCCTATCTCCACCACATGCAATAACTTACAAAAAGAAATTGCTAAAATATGTTTAAGGTTTGGTTTTGTATATGGATCTTTAGTTTTAATAACCAACCTCCATATTTGTAATTTGTTGCTTGGTTACACTCCTCCATGTTGACACGTGGGAACTTGATTGACGTTCAAGTGGGTCCATGTTTTTGTCCCACTCACTCGCTTTTGCTTTCCCTCCTTAAAGAGCCAGCAAAAGATAATTGATGTTTTCACTTTAAACAGTGAGCTAAATGGGTCTTTAGTGGAAGCTGAAATTGAAGAAAGTGGTTTGATTACTATACCTTGTAATGGTTTACTGTTTAATTAATAAAAAACACAACAAAGCACTAAAGTAATTCATTTCAGCCCATTCAATCGTTATCCAAACGGCCCCTAAGGTTGTCTGTGGGAGGACAATACGATAGTGAGCTACTGAGCTACTGAGCTACTGAGCTGTGAGCCCCAGCTTCCTCGCCTTGCCTTGTGATAAAAGATTTTCCGAAGAGGCATGGATGCATGTGATGAGCTGAGAGGCCTAAGCGTGGTCCCAAACGCAGGCTTAGCATTTTACCTGCGTCTGCGTGTATAAATATATAAATACGTGGTGGGGTGTTGGGTCTGAATGCAAATGATCCCTTCACAACTGGACAATCTGGGTATGCCACGTCATCCCTCCATCAAGGTGGAAATTTCCATGTAATTTTTTTTTTCATCAGTAAACACTAAAAAGAAACAGAAGAAGCAAGTAAATGGGGCTACTCTTATTCACAAAGAATAAGTGGTACAAAAAGGGCCGTAGAATAAAAGAACTGGGGCTAAAGTTGAATGAATTAAAATGTACTTGGAAGTAAACCCAGATAGGTAATTCACATACGTACACTTAGCTAGGCTGTAGTAGGGACTAGCTTCAATCTATTGCATCACTAACTTATATGTCTACATGATGAACTCGTACAAAGAATTCCCTCACATGCTCTCAAATCTCAATTGGTGGAGGGGGGGGGGGTCCAAACCAAACCAAAGAACCCATAAGGGCATTTAATGGATTAACTGAAGCTTTGGTCGGAATTGGATACGTCATCCCATCAACATCACCGTTGATTGGAGATCATGGTGAAGCCCTGAAATCTGTGAGTGCGCTTATCAACCATATCCATTCATCTCCCAGAGCTAGCAAAGAAGATGGAGAGAGAGAGAGAGACACAAGTGTAAAGTGTATAGTGTAGAGGTAGGTTCATTCACATGATCCTATAGCAGTATTGATGATTGAATAAAAACATATGTAGGTTAGAACCCTAACTGCTTGTAGCCTCATCAACCTACCCTGACTCGACATACTTGTTGTAAGCAAAGGAAACAAATGTTAATATTTATTGGACACGCCCACGCTCACGCTCCGAGCATATTTTCCCATCCCTCAATGGACCTGGACCAAGCATGCTGTCTCCTACCCCCCCATTCCTCTCTACTAACTAATTTGTATTTGCCTCTTCTCCCCCTATCACAAGCCCTCTCCCCTCTGCCCATGTCTCCCCTATTTCTCTTATTTTATTCTAGTTTCCATGGTCAGGGTAGAGGGTAGCCAGGAAGAAAGGAACAACTGATGATGAACCAATTACATTAAACTAATTGCTTAATATAATACTATCATCAACTCAGGTCCCTAATCCCCAAACAACCTTTCTACTTCTTCCTTTCTGCTTGGGCTTCTCTCTTGGCTTTTTGGCTTCTCCCCATTTCCTGGTCCTTCACACCTCATTCAACTAATAAAATTTTCTTAATTTCTTTTCTGGGTTCTAGCTGTGCGTGCGTCTGCTGTGTGTTATCCATGCTCTGAGCGCGTGCGTTTTTGTATGAGTCTATGTGTTGGTTTTGGGTTTACCCCATAAAAAATATGCAAATAAAAATGTAGTGGATTAAATCCCATAAACATTCCTCTAGGCTTCTACTCCACTTCCTCTCTCCCTTCTCTACTATTTTATGTCTTAACCTTCATCTGCTTATTATTTGACCGACGTACATTCCACTAGCCTTGGGAAGTTAACCTCTGAAACCTGTTTTAAGCCTCTAAATATTGATGAAATAGATTAAAAATACTTAGCTCACACAAGCAACAGATGCATCAGAGCTTTCTCACTGCAGATTGTAAACAAATTCTAACTTATGTTTCTCAGCAATCATTTTCTTATTGTTTTCTCTGCTACTGCTAGTCATGGTTATATTTGTAGGTATGTCCATCTGACTGTGAGAACAGAGAAGGCTAAGTAGGTCCATCTGCAGTGTTGTCTCCGTGGTGGTCGAGTCTGTTCCGGGTCAGGATAAATCCGCCCCTAAACTAACAAATAAATATAAATATGTAATTCAGTTCTGAACCGGGCCCTATGGGGTCATAATTATTAAATTTAAACATCTAGGCATAAGCAGCTGGTATGAGATAAAGGGTATCTTTGTAAAATAAAGTTGGTTCCGGTTTTAATCGGATCACAGCATAAAAAATCGGTTCTAACCGGCATATAATTGGTTCAGAATTTAGTTGGTTCGTACGGTTCGGTTCAGTTGGATCCACCCGACCCATTCACGGCACTATTCCTTTTTTCAACGGCCACCTCAATCTTCACCATCTAATACGTTTCCCAATACTGCTCGGGTATACAAGACCCATAACTTGGATTCTTTCTGTCTCGGTTCATGAATAAACCAGAGAAAATTCTGAAACCAAGGAGACTATATCCTTTTTTTTTCTTCTTTTTGGAAATCCCAGAAAAAGAAACTTAAAAAGAGTGTTTTGGCCATTCTAACAGGGTTTTGCATGGTTGTTTCCAATAGGGACACAGGAATAATCCGGGTGTAGGGACTAGAAGTGCAACTTTGGTCGAGCTGGGTTGAGAATTTGTGAATTTTTAATGGCCCAAACCCTAATTCTTCTTCTTGGCAAGGAATCAAAACCCTAATTCATGTCATTCTACATAAAAGATAAGTATATAACAAAGAAGAAGTTGGGAGGAGTATAAATACAGATATATATATATATATATATAGTATAAATATATACAAAATAATACAAAATATAAGGTTTTGTACACTACACATTTGTATTTATACTCCTTCCAAACTGACTCTAATATTTTTCACTCATTATGTTTCAAAGAATCCTTCATTCTTTGACAAAATTTTTTGATAAAAAATATCTTGTATTGAGAAGGATGAGGATACAAGCAAAATTCAAAATATCAAAATGATACACTTGATATGRGCATATCATATCGTATTTTTGCATTCCAATAAACCTGTTTATAAGTATTTTTACAAATTCCTTTTTTTATTAAATTATATATATTTAAAATTGATTTTAGAAAAAATAAAGGATATCAAATGCACCTCTGCCGATACACAACACAKAAGTGCATCGATAATTTGAATTAGGGTTACAAAATAAATGAAACCCCTAGTGCTATGCAAAGTTTCTTTGTACAAAGGCATTTTCGTCAAATTGAATATGACTCAAGGCATCAATAACTGTAAACCCTAATTTAGTATTATAAATACTAACTTTCTGCTAGAGCTGTAATGGTTGGTTGAGAAATATTGGAATTACGTAAGGATCCTTGGGATCGATATACTGAACCACGTACAATTGACATAGTGCATTGAAGTAGACTTATCAAAAAGAGAGATATATGTGAATAAAGTTTTCATGATTCATATTTACAATTGACAGCCACAAATTTTACTCAGAAAACATCCAAAATAGTTTGATATGCAAAATAAATAAATAAACAAATGGAGTTTCTTGTTTGGGACACAATACTTCTAGTTAAATCTGTTCATAGGCCGGGTCAGGCTGGGTTTGGGTCAAGCTTTACCTCTTTATTAATATAATACATTTAGGCCTGAGTCTAAGCCTAACCTGACCTTCAGGTCTAGATCTTGACTTCAAGCCTGACCCTCCTATAAAGCCTGAATCCCGACCTGTAAATTGGGCAAAAAGATTTTTTTGTTTTTTTTTATTCATTAAAAATTAATTTATTTATATTAAATGACCTTAGAACCCGAAAATTTTGAAAGATCTCATTATAACTTGAGAAAAGAAATATATTATATGTTTTTTTATTATATAAAATATTGTTGGGCTTGGGCTCAAGCTCAGGCTGAACTTTTTTGAGAAAGCCTGAACCCGGTTCAAAAAAAAGTCGGGCCTAACATTTTGGGCCCAAACCCGACAAAAAATGAACCAGGCCAGGTTGACTCGTCAGACTACCCGACCCATAAATAGGTCTACTTTTAATTGAAATGTAAGGGGGTATTCAACAATATGGTTGGTTTTTTTAGAACAAAAACAACATAATTTTTCTGATATCGCAGTTGTTTTTACTTTCAAAAACAAAGCAACCATCTTATTATGAACACTCCCTAAAGCTCTGCTAAACTTTTAAGGGTTTGTAAGAGCTGTATAGACATTTTCCCCCACCGTCCTACTTATTTATAAAGTTAAAAAACAGACATCTGAGACCATGTTTCATATGCTTTTTGGTTCCAGACTTCCGGTATATCTCTATTATTGAAGGACCTAATCAATTGTCAGTTGTGGGTCCTGATCTTAGTAGTAATTTTCTGGAACAAGTACTAACCACAGCTTCTTT